CCTCAGAATGGGTGGATGGTTACATGGGGGGGTCAGCGCTCCAAGAGCGAGTGTTGTGGTGAAGCTGCATTGTCTTTTATGATATAGTCTTGGAAGCTACGTACCATTACTCTGCCGTACTCTATTGGTTGAAGCAGTCACAAGGCTGCCCAGATTCTAGGGGAAGGTATATAGACCCGATCTCTCACTACGAGGAGTGTCAAAGACTTAAAAAAAGAATTTAAACCCAGGGTTTTAAAACTACCACAGATGGTTTGTCTTTTTTCTATTGACTTTTACTAACTCTTTGCTTCTTATGCCTATGAACCATTTGTGCCTTATGATTACTGCAAATTGTTTTGACCAGGCTGCCATCTATCTTCATATCTTATTTTTGAAATTAAAAATGTCACATTTAAAGAAAAGTGGGTAAAAATTAACTAAATAACTGAATTTTCAGAGATTGTCTAAGACAAGACTTAATTCACTTGTGGACAGCAACTCAGTTTGAAGGTTAAGTAGGCAAAACATTATGGTTCCAGGTAACAGATACTAGAAAGTTGAGACAAGAAAGAGTTAAACACTGTTTGATATGATCACATTTACGTCAACTTCAGCATTTTATTCTGTCTCTGCTAAATCCTTTTTTCAAGTTAAAAAAAATCTTTTTGTGATGTCTCTGAGTTTTTGTAACTAATTCTTGAACCAAATCTAATTTTGGGATATTTCTTGGTAATGGAAGCTACACAATTGCAATGGGATGTGTCTATACACCTTTTGGAAAGCAAAGCATCCATATCACAGTATCACAAAGTATCACTTTGATAGCTTCAAGGTATCACAATTAATGAACATTTTTTCACTTTTTTTTAGATTTCAACAGATTCTGTTTTATTTAATTCCGGGTAATTGTTTTTATAACTTGGCAGAGCAAGACTTTTTTTTTAAAGTACTTCCTAAAAGGTGATATATTTTGAAATAAATATGGATTGAATTATAAATCTGTCTATATTCAAGTTTATATCTTCAAGGGCTGTAATTTCACTTATACTTTGTGAATAAATCTATATGCTAATAAATATACTGTTTTATATGATAAAATATAAACAATTTTTAATCAGCTTACAGAAAAGCTTTGAAAGAGACATTAATTAATACAAATGGATCAATTTTCAAATCCTAATGTTCTTTTAAGAAAGATCACCTATTTAGCACTGGTGTATTTAACACATATATGCTTCAATATATTTGATTGGGACATTAATAAAACCTTATTGCTTATATTAGCATCCACTTGTATAAAACAATTAACAGGCAAGAAGAACCAGGCACAATACATTAATCACTGAAACAAAAGTAGAACAATTTAAAGAATTTGTTAAAGATATCCACTTTTGATAAAAATAGGAAAATCAAATGTAATATTATTCTCTTAATTAGTCTATATACATAAAAGTGTAAGAGGATGATGTTCAAAGACCACAAAAAATGAGAGGGGGACGGGCTCTGTCACAGAGAAATTCATAAGCCAAAATGATTATGCTTTGTGTGTGAGTAAAAGACTTGGGTCTTCATTATAATGATCAATAGTGTGTTCAAGCAACTAGTCATGTCTAAAAAGTGTTTGTTTATTTTCAAAGAACACATATATTTACCATTTTAGAATTCTTTTTACTTTTCTCCCAGATAATTTTGGATCATGCAAAGGAAGGATAAACAGGACTGTTGTTCTGAAGATATCTCAGATGTGGAAAATTTACGTTTGGCCTAGTAATGTATCATGCAACCTTTGCTTTCCAAAAGTGTTTAGACACATCCCAATGCAATTATGTTTTTATCAAGATATCAAGGGCCTGCTAATGCAATTCACAGATACTATACTTAAGGTGATACATTTTTATAAAATTTTCCTTAAATGGTTTACTATCAACTTCTGGCAACAGGGTAGTCCCTGTGGAAAAATTGTTTCTGAAAGGGAAAATCCTCACTAACCTAAGGCACGACCTGAGAGATCCTCACTGAAGTGTATCTTTCAGGTTAGGGCATTGCAGCCAAAAAGAAAACAGCAAGAACGCCCTTGTAATGGTTTAATACTTTAATTGATGGCCCTTTGGAAAATGTGGAAGACATAGGAGAAAGAGAAGTAAATTCTGATAGTAGCGAGGGTGTGTACAATATTGTGGCTTATCAGATATGATTGGAGAGAGAAGTCTTGGGTCAGCCCTTAAGTAGGAGAGTCCCAGGAGGCCAAAGGATGAGAGTAGAGTACTCAATCGGTTTTTACTGAGACACTGAATTGAAAATAAATGTGAGCAAGGAGAGGAGGGTGTTCATTCTATCTATGAGCACCTACTATCTTAAAAGCTTTGTATTAGGTGCTGGAGATACATACTTATTTCCACCAGCTTCCCTTGGTCAAAGCTGTCATAAGGCCACCCCTGACTGCAAGTGAGGCTAGGAAACACTATCAAACCCATGTAACCAGGAAGAAAAGGAAAGTCATTTAGTGGACACGTAGGTTACTCCTGCCAGAGTTTACCTTCTTACGATATCCATCAAACTCTTCCTTTCAAACATGGGTCATATACCCTCTGTCCAAGAGACACACTCCTAAATCCAGCTGGGCTCTCTGGGTGATGCGCAGTTCTTTTCATCAAGCCTGGATGAGACTGTTCTTGATGGTCTACGGCCTATGATCTAGAAAGACAATTATTTACCCTCTCCCTCACCTATCAAACAAATACACAATTGTGGAGCAGGGATAAAATAACCATGGTTAATTACTAACACTTGGAAAGGAGAAGAACAAGAGACACACAGTAGTTGCCGGCCCATAGCAATTATGAAATTCTTCTGACAGTCATTACGAAGGTGCCCTCCCTGGGAGTAGGGGAAGTTCCTTCCTAAATCCTAATTTTGCTTCCTAGGGAGTATATATATATATACACACACACAGACACTGCATGTATATAATACACGTGTATATATGTGTATATGTAAGTTGACATCATTCTTAAATGAGAGTTGATTCTGTACCAAATGCTAGGATCATGATAGATAAACTTCCTTTTCATCTCTCCCAAACAGGAAGTATTTATTTTAAAGCCTACACTTTCATTGAAGATGTATCCTTTCAAGAATCTTGGCTTTCTACAGGTGTCTCAATTCTAATTCTTCAGCTCTCATGGATCCAGGCTTTTCTACTTTTCCCTTAATGTCTATTAAATCCCAACGCCTTGCTTACCAAGACTGCAACAATCACAGACTGCCTTTGTATTCACATCCCCAACCAGGACTGCTAAATCTCGTGTTTACTTCCATTTCTTGTTTTCAATTTTCCTCCAATTTCTGACCCTGGAGATAACTCTTACTGTCTAATGAGCTCGGCTATGCACATAAAAGTCTTTATGTTATATTTTACACATTTTTAATGTTTTTTTAATAGCAGAGGAGTTTTCATAGTAAAAAGTTAGTTGTATTGTTGGAAATGCAAGTCCTGGAACTGAATTTTGAAGTTGGGCTATGCTGGACATTTCAGGTTGCGTAGGCCCCATAAATAAATGAAAGAACAGAGGATTATCTCAAAGAAAAAAAGGTAAATTTTATACACGTTTCAATCTACAATATGTATTGCATTTCTCATTTTTGTAATTTTATCATCTTATGACAATGTATTTTTAATATAATCTATTTGTCTATTTCAACTTTTTTTCATATGTGGGTAAACTGAGGCCAAAAGAAGTCAAAGACTTATCCAAAGATACAATGCTACCTTGTAGGACAGACAGAAGGTGAATTTCCTTTCTCTCCTGACAATATCACATGCCTTTTTCAAATTGTCTTGTATTGATAGGAGCTTTGAGGAACTTACTGTAGGCTCAAATTGACTAAAATTCCTTTGACATGTTTCAAGTGATCTAAAACAATTTTTTTCTATAATAAAGAAGGAAAACACAAAAATATCCTCAAGACTAAAAAATGCATTATAGTGGTAGCTATAGCAAAATGTTACCCAATACAAATTATCTTATTCATAATGAAGAGGGTAGGAGAAGTAAAGCGGGAAGTAAGATTCTTTGAAGAGGATAAGATTCAAAGGACATTCACACAAAAATCTAATTTAATAATTGTAATTGCTTCTGTTTGATTCCACTTTCGTTATAGCCAAGGTTTTCCTGCCAAATATTGTGCCCGTGTCCCATTCTTTTTCCAGAGAGTTTACAAATGTCCACAACTGTTGGATAGCAACTTGTCTCTGGGTTGGGGTCTCAAGATTTCGAAAATAACAGCAGCGAGAAAACAGAACACCCAATTAAAGTTGAATTTCAGATAAATAACATAAATTTTAGTATAACTATACCCCACAAATATTGCTTGGGACATACTTATACTAATTACTTATTGTTTGTTTACCTGAAATTCAAATTTAACTGGGAATCCTGTATTTTATCTGACAACCCAACTGTAGGTGATGTGTCAGAGGAAAAAGGGTCCACAAGCAATGACAGCTCGGTGCTGAGTCTATAATTTTTTGATTCTCTTGAAAAAGAAGATCCTTCTCTCCATTTCTATTTCATAGAATCTCCACTTTCTACTTTCTCCTTTCCCTCCTCTTTTCAGTTTGCCTACTTGCTCCTCTTTATAATAGTGAGAAGGAAGACTACACAAAAAGTATATAGGTTAACATTTCAAGCTGAATCTCTGTTAACTTATATCTACTTATAAAATATACATCACACAATTAAATGTTGTTTTCTCCTTCAGGAAATAGAATTTCAATGTTATTCTCTGTTCTTCCAATATTTAGAAAACTGGATATTTTCCTTTCAATTCGATTGCCACATTCAACTTAATGGTTAATAAATCAGTGGAATCTTCACACTGATCCAATAATATCTCCCAAGTTACCTTTTGCCACCATGAAAACTTTTTATTTATGACTATACCCTCTTCTGCCCTTTAGCCAGCATTCAATCCATTTCATGTACATTTATGTCCATTCTGCTTTCCTCCTTTTGTAGACCTCAATCTCTCTACCAAGACCTTGATCTCTGATGTGGAACTTTGTCAAATGCTGTCTGAAATGTAGGAGCACACTCTTCACCGCATGAGGACAAAGCCGGAGTCTTCCTTTAAAGGCAGGAGGTTGCTGAATGAATAAACATTGGCATTTCATGTTGGGGCTCTCTGTCAGAACCAGCCGCTCCAGATATGAAATTTGTACGGAAGGGCATCATTTGTCTGTTGTCTAGTGATTTCACAGATTACAATAACGTTTTTTCAAAACCATTTGTCAATGGTTGAGGGAGGAGACAGAGAAGTCAGGTACTTTTGACGAAGCATTGCCCAAGACTGGACGATGGGTGTGAAGAGATGCTTTTCCAGCTTTTTGTTCAGAAAAAAAACCAGTGTAGTAAATGTCTTAGGAATAGATCAATTTGACTCTTTTATCCTGGGAGAGGCTTGGCAGACTATAAATGAATATTCAGTCTTTTTTAGAGAAACATTGATTACATTTTAGTGGTTGCTATAGGTTTTATGAAGTAACATATGCTTCCTAGTCCAATTTGCTATAGGATGACACAATTCTTCAGAACAAAGTACAATATATGTATTTTATTATATATATATATAAAATAAAATAGAATAACAGGAGTTCTCTTTTAAGAGCCAAATAAAACTGGAAACCCATAGAATATCAAGATTTTTACTTAGCTAAGTTTATGGTTATAAACCTCTTCAAACTCAGTTAAAATATTAATTTTTCACTATTCTTCATTTTAGAATGGAGTATACAAATAATTACCCAACTTAGATGATAAAGGAAAAAGAAAACTGTAACGTAATTTCTGTCTCTTCTCCTTTTCCTTCTCCTCTGAGTCTGAACTCCCAGAGTCAGGGATCAGAATTGTGGAGAATATTGGAGATTCAATTCTTTTATATGCAATAAACACAAACATTCAATTTTCTTGCAAAATTTTCTGAATTCTATCTGCAACTGTTCGCATCCTTGTTTTTCAAAATTGTGTACGTAAAGTGACAGAATAAAGAACAAATATATTCAAGTTAACATGAGCATTTTATTATGATTTATAATCTATAGGGCACAAATTTGAAAAAAAATCAAGTAAAACATTAATACGTTTTCTTTGAAAAAGTTTCAAGCTCTACGGAAGAATCAAGAACCCTAAGCAGAAGATCGTCCTTTGTCTTTTTCCTGCATTTTATTTATCCTCAGACTTCACCACTACTAATAGCTGGTGACAGTATTTTTCTAGTACTTTTTCTATGTGTTTAGACACATATATGCATATAGTTCTCTTTGATGTTTTTTTCCTTTGAATATTCTAAATATTGGAGTGCTCCAGTGCTCAGTTCTCTCTCACTTGTTTGTACGTTCTAGATGTGGAGTTAAAAAAAAAATCTAATTCTTTATCACTCCCCTCTCCCATTGATAGATAGGCTCCAAGCACCTGCCCCTTGAATCTGGGTGGGCTTGTGATAGCTTCGACCGATAGAGTGTGGCGGAAGTCACACCACGTGACTTCAGGCTAAACTGTAGGAGGCCCGGCAGCTTCTGTCTGCTTCTCTTGGGTGTTCTCCTTGCTCTAAATCACCTTGCCATAAGAAGTCCATGCCCTATGCAGAAGCTGTGTGTAGGCGTTTCAATCCAGATCATAAATGTATTGTTCTAGTTGGCCAGACCAGGTGCCAGACATGTGAGTGAAGGAGTCTTTGGATGCTTTCATCCCCCAGACATTTCCAACACAGGTCACAGACATCCAGGAAGAGAACAAGCCACATCTGCTGTGCCTTGTCAGAATTATCAAACTACAGAATCCCTGACCATATAAAGTGGTTGCTGTTTTTTATCAACAGATAACCAGAACACTAGGGAGTCTCATCTAGTTCCATGGCTTTAAAACTTATTTATATAAAAACTATATGATCTATATGAAAATAACTAGCTCCCTGATCTCTCTCCTCAGGTGCAGGAAGGCTGGCCTCTTTAAGGATCCACTTGGATATGCAACAGCTATCTACATAATAGGATTTTATGAAGATTAAATGAGTTAATATACAACAAGTGCTTAAAACATATTAAGCATTACACACGTGTTAGTTTTATTATTAATTAACTCAAGCTTAAGATGATACAAACTGAATTCTTGATTCCTACAATTTCAACACCTGCTCCTCCTCTTGTCTTTCAATCTTAATAAATTGTTCCACCATTCACCCTGATGGCTCAAGTCCAAAATCTTGGAATCTTGTTTGATTTCTTCCTCACATTCCTCTTACCAGTAGGTTCTGTTGTTCTGCTTCCTACATATATGCTAACCTCATTTAACTTTATCTTTACAGCTAATGCACACCACTGTAATCTGCCATTTGGACTGCTGTAACACTTTATCTGGTCTCTCTGTTTCGCTCTTGTCCCCTACAATCGTTCTTTATGTGGGAGTGAAAGTGACATTTATAAACACAAATCAAGTTATGTTACCTGATGGAAATCCTCCAGTAATCGTTTCTCTGTACTGTTAATAAAATCCAAACTTCTTGCTATGGCCCCTGAGGCCTGTGTGATCTGGTCCCTTTCTCCATCTCTGACCATAGGTCCCATAGGACCGTCTGTACTGATCACGTGCCACTCGTGGTGATTGTCTTCCTTTTCTTCAATTAAGTGTTCTAAGCTCATTTCTGCTTCAGGGCCTTTGCATTCCCTATGCTTGAAATTCCCTTTCCCCTTCTCTGGTTTGGTCCTTCCCACCAGCAGATTTTGGCTCAAATGGGTCTTCCTCAATGCGGCTGTCCATGACTACTGAATCTAAATTATTTGTGCATAGCCTTTCTTTCATTCTCTGTGGCATTCTCTATGTTATTTTCTTTATAACACTTCTTAACGTGTAAATGGTTACTATTTGAATAACTTCCTCCCACAGCTATTTATTTGTTCAGGTACTTGTTTACATGTCTTTCTCGGCTTCTGGAGGGAGAGCTCTTTGAGAGCAGGGACCCTGTCTGTCCTTATCCTGAAACAAAGACTGGTGTATGGAAGATGTTCAACAAATATTTCCTGCCTGAATGCCTTTCCTGCTTCCTTCCCCATCTCCCACCTCCCTCCCGTCCTGCCTTCTTTGCATCCTTCCTCCCTTCCTTCCCCTTTCTCTCTCTCTCTCTCTGTTGTGCACTCTCTTTTATACAGAAGGAATATAAAGAAATAATACATAATATATTTATGTATATGCAAATTGCTTTGTACTCAACATATTTTAGAAATATTTACATATCAGCGTATTTAGTTCAAACTTATACTTTTAAAATAGCTTCAAGGTATTGCATTGCATGAATGAATCATAATTTATTTAATTATTCCACAGTGAGGGATATTGTGATGGCTTAACAATCTTTTTTAAATAAGCAATCAATGCTATAATGAGTATCCTCACATGGTCTTCTTTATTCATGCGTTCTTGCATTTCCCTAAAATAGAGTCCTGGAAGTGGAAAAATTCAAAAAATTTATCTCCTAAAAAGCTTTACTAAAAATACAGAAACTTGCCCATTTTTTCACCTTTACCCAAACTAGACATTAATATCTTTTAAAATTTTTTCTCATTTTTTGATGAAACATAAAATCTTATTTTTGAGTTGTCTTTGCCTCTTTCAGGACTCTCTGTTCTCTTCCATTGATCAATGTATATATTTCTGGAACAAATACACACTAAGAATTACTATAGCTTTATTTTATGTTAGGATAACAAAATGCTAATAGTATAGAGTAAGCCCATATTTGATTATAAATTCTATTTCATGGAGAATTGAAGTAAAAAGACTAAATGCTCTATCCAAATAAAAGCTCAAAGACAACAAAAGTCACAAGAATTGGCTCTGAGGGGCCACTCTAGTAGCGTATCAGTTAAGTTCGTGTGCTCTGCTTCTGTGGCCTGGGGTTCGCAGGTTCGGATTCTGGGCACGGACCTACCCTCTGCTTATCAAGCCATGCTGTGGCAGGCATCCCACATATAAAGTAGAGGAAGATGGGCACAGATGTTAGCTCAGGGCCGTTCTTCCTCAGCAAAAAGAGGAGGATGGGCAGCAGATGTTAGCTCAGGGCTAATCTTCCTCAAAAAAAAAAACAAGAAAAAAAGAATTGGGTCTGAAATTTAAAAAAAAATCTTACCCTCATGAGTCCAAATATATGAGAGCTGGAGAGGAGGAATATGTAAAAGCATAATTACTTATTTATCTCTATTTATCTCATGGAAGAGAACAATATGGTATGGATTAACTCTAGGGGGTCATTTTTTAAAATTTAAATACTCTATTTAAAAATTTAACAGGTGAATAGAAATGGATGTATAACTTCTAAAACCTAGATAAATGAATAAAAAACAGAGCAAGAAAACTTGAACAGTCCAATCAATGGCAGGAAAAGGAAGAAAATACAACAACAATAAGAAAGTCAGGTAAGTAAAATATCTAAAAAAACACAGCAGGAATAACCTCAGATAGACCGGTAAATCATGATAACTATTAACCAGTTAAGCTACCTTTCTAAGCATAGAAACTCTTGATTTGTCTTTTTTTAAAAAACAAATCATGCTATATACTATAAGAATTCTACAGAAAACAAAATTACACAGAAAAATAAAAATAAAAGAATGAAAAATATTTACAGGCCATTACTTACACAATATAATTTCTGACAAAATCATCAAACCAAAAAGCATCAAATGGGACAGCAGTATTGTTGTGTGCCAGTCTCAGCCTGTCAATAACCAATGTTGCAGCTGAACCAGCCCTTGTGGTTCTTATGATTGCAAGCCACCCTTCAGTGATAACCATCAAGAAACTGAGAAAATAAAGATTTGTTACTTACAGAACCTGGAAATTACACAGCACACACCTGGGGCCACACAGTGAGGTCACAGGTACAGAGGGAGAGAATGTGCATGGGTCTGGCCTTCTTCTCTCATTGAGGTTGAGAATGGGGGCCTAGGGTTTTGTGGGCTCTCTCTTTATTGGTGAACTTAGAACATAAAAGTGGGAATTTAAAGTGCAGGAAGAGAAAAAACAAGTGGTCCACATGATTAATAAATTGAAATCAACTGAGATCTCTAAAACAAAGATGCCTCAGTGGAGGTAGGTGGCCTCACTCTCTCTCTCTCTCTC